AGGCAAATTGGAATTGATAGAAAAAAGATCGTCACGATGTAGAAAAGATGTGGAGACTCTAGCAAGAGTGCAGAGAAGAGCAACAAAGATGATTAGGGGACTGGAGACTAAAACATGAAGAATGGTTGCATGAGCTGGGTATGCCTAGTTTAATAAAAAGATTCTCCCTCCCAAACTTCCTTTCATAATAATGAAAAGGTAGGTAGAATTCAAGAGACAAAATACATGACATTGAAGAAGGCTGCTTCATAGCTGACATAAAACATACAGGTTGCTTCTGTAGTTAAAAAAAAACACATTTATGCAGGTGTTTTAAATTGTTGCACTTTATGAATAATATTCAAACATAATGCTGTGGGTGCATTTATAAGAAACAAACAGCTATTAAACAAACAGATACTAAAGAGTGCAGAGAAGAGCACAAAGATGATTAGGGGACTGGAGACTAAAGCATATGAAGAACGGTTGCAGGAACTGGGTATGTCTAGTTTAATGAAAAGAAGGACTAGGGAGACATGATAGCAGTGTTGCAATATTTCAGGGGTTGCCACAAAGAAGAGGGAGTCAAGCTATTCTCCAAAGCACCTGAGGGCAGCACAAGAAGCAATGGGTGGAAACTAATCAAGGACAGAAGCAACTTAGAACCGAGGAGAAATTTCCTGACAGTTAGAACAATTAATCAATGGAACAACTTGCCTCCAGAAGTTGGGAATGTCCCCACACTGGAAGTCTTTAAGAAGATGTTGGATAGCCATTTGTCTGTAACAGTATAGGGTTTCCTGCCTAGGCAGGGGATTGGACTAGAAGACCTCCAAAGTCCCTTCCAACTCTGCTATTATATTGTATTGTATTGCAAGACTTATTTTTCAGAATAAGATAAAGATCCTTTGAAAAAACAGCCTAAACTTGACTATCCATTAAACAAGTAGTTTACCAAGTTCTCACACAAGATTTTTATATTTTATATAGTTAGTTCAGTCAGTTTTTATGAGTAGGTACACATTTTCATTTTTTTGCATAGGCCCTTAAAATATTTAAAGTTTGAAGAGGCTCTCTAGGCAGGCAGGCTTAGCAAAGCAAGAGCTCATATGCTGTAGTTGATAAAAGATTGTGTACTGAATCAGGGTGATGATTTGTGAAGGCCAATGGTGGGAAACACAGGGGCTGGAAGTTGTTCGTCTTCAAAGTTTTGGTTGTTTCAGATTGCCATCTTTAAAATCCTGAATAGAGTGTCTATAGATATTCTCATTCATCCAGTTGCCTCTTGAAAAAGCACCTTTGGGACACTCTGAATAGAGAATAATTCCCACAATTATGGGAAAGATTGTTTATATTTCACCACAAATGACATATCCCTTTTCCTGTGTGTTTATGTTTGCACATGGGAACTAAAATGAGAAGAGATATGTATTACAGCATCATGATTCAAACTTCACCCCCTTATGTTCAGTGTTGCTTGCGTGAAAAGCAATTTTTGTTCTGCATTCCCAACTTTAGTAGAATCCTACCTATCCTTTTAATTTGGAATATACAGCTTCTTTCGGGCTGAGGAACATGTTTAGCTTTTAAGTATTGCATTTATTTTCCAAAATGGGTGGGACCAACACAAAGATTCAATATTTCATTTGTATTAAAATAAGAAGTTATGTTTTTTTTATTCTTCATTGTTTTTAGATGGATTTTTATGGTTCTAAATTTTTTAAAAATCCCTTTGATTTTAAAACCTCAATATCTGTTCAATGATTTGTTACTATATACGGATGAAACTCAAAAAATTAGAATATCGTGCAAAGTTCATTTATTTCAGTAATGCGACTTAAACAGTGAAACTAATATATGAGATAGTCTCATTACATGCAAAGCAAGATAGTTCAAGCNAATATGACATGTCCTGATAATAAGGCCATGCCACATTTTTCTGGTGGGCAAAAATATAAGCCCTCCCCCACAAATAAGCCCCCTGGACAACCCCCACCTCACCTCTGGCCAGGCAGTGCCGCTCACCAACCGAGCGGTATCCCGAAGGTGCCAAGCCACTGGAACCGGGGGGGGGGAGCCAAAAGTGATCGCATTGCTTGGTGCCTTCGGGATACCGCTAGGTTGGTGAGCAGCACTGTGCCCAGCTAAAGAGGGGGGGTTGCTGGGTGGCTGCTCTCTTGCAAGTGGGCTCCCAAAGAGCCGGGCACAGCCTCATGGGCAAATGGCTATATTGCGCTGTCGCAGCAGCGCAACACAACAGCCATGAAGCGACCACGCTCACGAGCAGCTACCCGGCAAACCCCCTTTCCAGCCGGGCACAGCGCCATTCACTGACCTAGGGGTATCGCCAAGCCACATGAGTGCCTGTTTGCTGTTGCCCGTCTCCCGCGGCTTGGCGCCTTCGAAATGCCAGTGAATCGCGCTCTGCACGGCTGGACCGGGGGGGGGGTGTTGTATGAGCGGCTGTTACGCACTCGTTCACACGCCTCCCAGCCTCACGATGCTCTGGCCCAGCTCTTCTTGCAGAGTCAGAGCACCTCCGCCGCCACTGCCATCCCAGCATGGCTTTTTCGGCGGCTTCCAAACCAAGTCTTCCAGCAGTGGCCACTCTGAGCGTACACTCTATGGTTGTGGGCCAGCTGCCGGCAGAGCATACAACCATAGAGCATACACTCAGAGCAGCCACTGCTGGAAGACTTGATTTGGAAGCTGCCGAAAAAGCCATGCTGGGATGGCAGTGGCGGCAGCAGTGGAGGTGCCTGGCTCTGCAGCGAGAGCTGGGCCAGGGCATCATGAGGCAGGGAGGCGCACAAGTGAGTGCGGAACAGCCGCTCGCACAACCCCTCTCTCCAGCCGTGCAGAACGTGCACTGGCATTTCGAAGGTGCCAAGCTGCAAGAGCCGGGTGGCGGTAAACAGGTGCTCATGCAGCTTGGTGATACCCCTAAGTCAGTGAATGGCACTGTGCCTAGCTCTAAAAGGGGTTTGTGGGGTTGCTGCTCGTGAGCATGATCGCTTCATGGCTGTTGTGTTGCGTTGCTGCAACAGCGCAACACAACCATTCACCCCTGAGGCTGTGCCCGACTCTTTGGGAGCCCACTCGCAAAAGACCAGCCACCCGGCAATCCCAAAACAATAAACCCTCCCCTCATAAAAAGGCCCAAGCAATATTTTGTGAGTAAAAAGAAAATAAGACCGTGTCTTATTTTCAGGGAAACACGGTATATTTCTTAGTCTTACCAAGTGTTGGATCCCAACATACCTGGAATATACAGGATTGCTGCAAATTAGCTCGGTGAAAGATCATATGCTTCACATACAAAAGGTCTCTATTCCAGGATGGTCTTGGAGAATTGTAGCCATTTTTGATAGCACTGAGCCTAAATGAGTGGCAATATTTCAACAATGTGTTTGTCCATAGTTGAATTAATTACAATTTACTCAGGTAGTTCCATGTTCTGAGTTTTTATGACCTGAATCAAGGACTACGTCAAGGACTAAGTCTTCACAATAAATTATGATAGGATATGTCTGACATTTATATTTCAGTGTGGTGTCTGAATATAGAAATATATGGTTTTGCTTGTCAAGGTTTCTATGCTCATGCTAAAAGTTAAATAGCAACATTTAAAGCTACAATTATTTTCCACATTATTGTAGAGCTTACAATCAATGAAACCAATGGCTGAAATCGCCAAACCCCCTAGTCAAAATGAAACACTGCCTTTTTCCTTCAGTTTCCTAATCCAGTTTCCCCATTTTAAGATTTTGAATTAGCTTCAACAGAACCTGAATTCAATCCTCACAGCATAAGTTCTCTAAAGAGGAACTTTATCAGAGGAAAGATCCTAATCTAAACAGTCAAACTTGGCATTTTGCCTAATTGTTTCTCCGGGGAAGAAAGACCAACATATTGAGAAAACATGGGAAATTTACAAACATCAATATAATAACATCTGGTCTCTCCATTAAAATCCCTGAATGAGGCCAAAAAAAAAATACCTCTTTTAATGAAAGCAGTGCACATAGTCTCTCTAAGAGACTTTTCTACTTGAAAAATTATTTTCAATGGCTTAGACTTATATAGGCACATACTTAGCCATAGCTTGATCAACAGAATATATTTTGTCATAAACCATGCTACCAAACATCTAGTTCATAAATGTGCAAATGTGCATGTTTAGTATGGCCTCAGATTAATCTGAAGCCAGCTGGTGATTACGCTTTGGTTTGTGCACCCTTCTAAACATTTGTTTGCTTAACCATGGCTTGTTAAATAATTGTTTCATTTTACATAACATGCCTATAAATAATTTGCAAGTTACAATAGTAGATTCACGCAAGATCCTAAACAGCAATCAAACTCAATTTTAATCTTGTCTTCCATCTG